CTTTCATTAATCAAACACAAATGGTCATTGGCTTAATTAATTCAAGCAATCATTAAGATTAAGTTTAATAACTATCTAAAACCCCTAGATACAAATGGTCATTGGCTAGGTAGTCTTAAAGCTAAAGAGAGTTGGTTCAGTCATTTAAACATACACCTTGTGGGCAGAAAATGACTAAGGTTCAATCCTAGAGTGATCAAGTCTAGAATAGCATTAAACACACTCAACTAGCAAGGAAACACTTAGATCTACACTTAATCACCTTAAATCTACCTAATCCATGAATTCTAAAAGTGTCTACTCTTTAATCTCCATGAGAAACCTTAAATCCATGATGGATTCAAGGCTAATCATGTTAATGAGAATAAGAAACAAGATATAAGATGAAATACTTCCTTAAAATGATCAAAAGGTTCAAGCTTTTACAATTAGAAACAAGTTTTAGAGAGAAAATGAGATACTTTAGGGTTTTTGGGGGCTAAAACTATATATAGAGGTGTAAAATTCGAGTTGGTTTGACCAGATTAAACCAGGTCAAACCAGAATAAACCGGTCAAACCGGACTAAACCGGGTCAACACTTGGAAATTTGACTTCACCGCATCCCAGCCTTGCCCGCGACCGTTTGCTTGCGATCGCCACGTTCTCACCGCGGCTTGCGCATCCCGCGACCAAAGCTTGCGAAATCTCTCGGGTTGTTTAGGCAAATATTGCCGCGACCATCAATTGTCCGTGAAGGGTCCCTGCGGCTAAGACAATGGATTCGTCGTAGCTTGGCCGCGACCGGCTTCATTCCGCGAAGGTTAACCCGCGGCGGAGCTCCGTCTTAGCTTGTGGTGGTGGTTGAGTTCGTTCCAGCCTCACCATCTCGGAGCTTCACCACCAACGGAACCTCCGTCACTCTCAGCTCCCACCAGTGGTCATCGTCCTCAGCCAAGCTTTGACCACGCCATGAATGTCATCCATCTCCCTCGAGCTTGTCCTCCGGCGTGAATCTCAGCCACCTACATCCGTTCCGNCTTTATAAAACGGCCCCTGAACCTTTGTAAATTGCAGAAATAACCTTCCAATGTCGCCCAAAACTTCCAAATGTGCAATCTAGACCCTGTTATATGCAAATGAACAATCTAATGCAATATATACACCTAATATGCAACCTCATGACCATAATAAGCTAAAATGTGAATCTAAAACTCATTAAAAATATGAAATATCAACCATCTTTAGAGGTTTATAAAATTTTACATAACATTATAATATCTTTTCATATCTTTAATTTTTGTTTGAAATACAAATAAATAGTTTTAAGAAAATTCTAACAAAATCTTTTAAAAATCTTTTAGAATCTTTTTCAAGACTTTTCAAGATATAGTTTCAAAAATTATTTGATTAAAATTTTAATTATCATAAAATATAATTAAAATTTTAATTCATTTTTAATTTATAAACAAAAAATTAAAATTATGTAAAATAATTTTAACAATATCCCAAAATTTTGTTTATGTATTATGTAGGTCCAACTTAATTAATATTTACATAGATTTCAAATTTAGAAATAAAACAAATATATAAATTAGTAATCTTACATAATAATATTTTTTAAAATTATTACAAAAATACAAATTTATAAATTTTATATTAATAATATTATAAGTCAAATTATACTTATTTATTGATAAATTTTAATATATAATTTCAAATATTTTCGTATTAAAATACCCGCACGGTTGTGCGGGTCGAAATCTAGTATACTATTAATATGCACTTGAATCCTTCAGTAAAAACTATAATTTTTAATGATTAGTGACTAAATAAAGTCGGTTTGTTTAGTTTCTTACTATTTATTTATTTGTAACCGAATAAGTATTTCTTATTTTCTTTTGAAAAAAATATTACTAATTGATTACAAAAAAATATTTGTAACTGAAAGTATTTCACTTGAATCTCTCAGTAAAAACTATAATGTGTAATGATTAGTGAGTAACTAAAGCCGGTTTGTTTAGTTTCTTACTATTTATTAATTTATTTGTAATTTAAAAAGTAAGCGTGTAATGTGATAATTCTAGGGAACTAGTAAGCAACAAATGGATTTGACTTCTGGAATTTGATTCGCGAGTTGATGCACGAATGTGGGTGGACTCAATTTATTGTGACTCCGAGGACTCCTCGGTGGCAGCTGCCCCCTCAGTGCTCTCATAATATCTCAATCACAAATAACTTTTTCAAACAAATGTTCTACCTAGGGCTGGGCATTTTATCCGTTATATTTGATTCGATCCGTTATTCGTCGATTCGAACCGAAAATTCCGAATATCCGTAAACTTTCGAATCAAAGCAGATACTAAAATTCAATATCCGTTAAAATCGAAGCAAATCACAAATATTAAAATTTTGGAAAGCGGATATCCGATCCGATCCGTAAATATATAAATATATGTATATTTTGATTATATTTAAAATTTTAATTGTATAAAATTATATATTTATTATTTTAGCACATGATTTTGAACAATTCTATTCAAATTATTACTTATATAAAAGTATTACATAAAAAGAGATAAAATATTTTTGACAATTATATTTTTTTCTTAATTTTTGTGTTATTATAATTGTAACTTAAACTTTAAAAAATTACAAAATCTATAAATTCACTAGTTCTTTTAAGTTTTATTTTATATATCATGCAAAAAATATTTTTGCAAAGCAAATTTGTATCAAAATCTTAAGATTATTTGTACTAATTAAAATGGATGAGATATCCGTAAATATTCGTAAATATCCGCAAATATCTANAATTCACTAGTTCTTTTAAGTTTTATTTTATATATCATGCAAAAAATATTTTTGCAAAGCAAATTTGTATCAAAATCTTAAGATTATTTGTACTAATTAAAATGGATGAGATATCCGTAAATATTCGTAAATATCCGCAAATATCTATTTATTTTCCGGATATCCGTTTTTCCGGATATCCGTATTTTTTCGAAGCAAATCAAATACCAAAATTAGATATCCGTAACATTCGAAGCAAATCACAAATACCTTAAAAAACCCGGATATCCGATCCGTACCCACCCCTAGTTCTACCTCTAAAAATTTAATTTGTTTTACACGGATGACTTCTACACATATTTAAATGTTATCTTGAAATGGTTAACTCCGACATTTTTAATTTGTCTAAAGTTCGTATATGTTTATTAACAAAATCATAAGTACTGCCAAAATGATCAGAACCAAGCAAAGCAGTAGGGTTACATAAGGTGATTTGTAGCCTTTAAAGCTCTCTTTAGCAAAATGATCTAAACCAACTTTTAATGATACTTCTACAATATTTGACAAAAAAAATACTTCTACAATACAAATAAAACAAGGTTGATTTATTATATTGAGATTGATCTTGATTACTACTTTTAGATCCGAACAAAGCGGTCTCACCCCAACTGATATCTTATATATTAAAACAGAAGTCACCATTTCACTTTATGTGTGATTTTTCAGTTTGTACCATCTTTATAAATTTTACATATGTTAATTATGATATCTTTTCATATCTTATTTTTATTGAAAATATAAATAAATATTTGGAAACAGATTCTAACAAAATCTTTTTGCAATCTTTTAAAGTCTTTTAGAAATATATTTCGAAAATCAGTTATTTCAAATTTTAATTATCATCAAATAGAAATATATCATAAACTAAATTAAAATGATATATTAATATATTTATTTTCATAAATAGAAATATTTATGTTAAAATAATATATTATGTTGTCAAAAAGGGGTAACATACTATGTATTACATGTATACAAATTAATATATCTTAAATTTATATATATACAACAATATATCATCTAAAATTAATATACATAAACAAATAACCATTTGGTTGACAAAACAAAATAAAAATTATTAAATATTTAAATATGTGATTAATATTAAAAATATATATACCCATAATAATGTAAAAATATATATATATATATATATATATATATATATATATATGAAATTAAAACCCGCTCGGTTGAGCGGGTCAAAATCTAGTAATTGTATTAAAACATTTAATTCTATCCATTATAAAAAATAATTTTTTCACACTTTGAGAATATTCGTGGGTTTCGTAATGAATTCCTCTACTTTTGTAAATGTACGACACTACTATTACACACATGAGTCATGACAGATGTCAAAAAATTGATCTTACGGAAATGCCTTAGCATCAAAAGTTATTTTGTTTACTATCATACTCAATAACTCTAAAATAAATATTTTGGTGGTTGGTCCTGATATTATCTTGTCAACATGTCTCCTTTTTTATATCCTCTTGCCAATGTAAACAAATTGATTGTCAAGTTATACAAATATTAACTTCATAACTTAACAAAAATAAAGAGTAAGCACTTAATGGCATTAAATAAAAGGAGATGTAAAGGAAAAAAAACAGGCACCAAGCCCTTAAACGTGCTACGGAGATGGATGACGTCATTCCAACTCATCGTCGTGACATCAGCAGAGCTATGGTAAGCCAATGGAAGAGTAAATAATCCATCCCTTTCCCATTATACCCTCCAATCCCTAAATAATTCATAATCAAGTTTTATCACATTCCCATTATAGCCTCCACACCATTTATATATCTCTCTTTCTCCTATCGCCTCTCTTTCTTAAGCATCTTCCTCTAATTGTTCTCATCTTCAAATCTATCACGCCAAGCCCTAAAAAGAAACCTCATAACCATTATATTGTCGTAGCAAAAAACATGGATGCAGATAGTAACAAGACCAAATCCATTAGTAGAAACGTTGTGGACCAACTTGTTGAAGGCTATGAATCCGCTACTCAGCTTCAGCTTCTCTTCTCTCAACAACAATCTGATCACCACATCGATCAGACCCGTATTGTATCCGGAGATCCGGATCCAGTTAATAAGCTAATGGCTAAGATCTTGGATTCTTTCCACAAAACCATATCGGTTCTTGATTCATTTGACCAAGTCACCAACGCCTCTGTCCTCGTTGAGGGTTCACGGAATGCTTCATGCGGCGATGACTCCGTGACTCCAGCGAGTTGCAACGGTGGTGATTCCGGTGATAGTAGAAAGAAACTTGGGGCTGGTAAGGGTAAAAGAGGATGCTACACTAGAAAGTAAGTGAAAAAGTTGAATATTATATATTTATATATTCCTTCGTGTTTAATGATTTAATCTAATATTTATGTGAATATTTTAAAAACCTTTTCACTACAAGTTGCTAATTTTGTCTGCTGATTTCATCATATATTGCGTGGTAGTGCCCCATATTGTAATGACTTATCGTAAAGGTTAAATGACATTGAACTTGGACTTGGATCTGTTGCTCTTGTCATGGAATAGTGATAGGGATTGTATGAGTAGGATTGATTGGATTGGACTAACCGAATTTTATTTTTTCAATTATTGTTGTGGTTAATATGCTATTTACAGTGGATTTAATAGTACAAGAACATATTTGCCAAAATGGTTTAATCATTAATTAATAAAATTTCTTACTTAATTTTACAGGAAGAGATCTCATACTTGGATTGTGGAAGCTAGAAGAATTGATGAAGACAAATATGCTTGGAGGAAATATGGACAAAAGCAGATTCTTAACTCCAAGTTCCCAAGGTCATTACCTTACTCCACATATGACTACTATATATATGATACATATATATGATACATATATATATATATATATATATATAATTCATAACTACATCACCAACACAAGGATGCAAAACACATCAATCTACTACCACTTTGTGAATTCTAAATCATTGTGTTTGTAATGTCTTCCAGAAGTTACTTTAGATGCACACACAAGCCAACACAAGGATGCAAAGCAACAAAGCAAGTTCAGAAACAAGAGCAAGACCCTAATTTGTTTCAAATAACATACATTGGTAATCACACATGTAACGTTAGTGACGCAACACAAGCAAAGACCGAACCTCTCGATCACGGAATAGTCATGGATTCTGACAACAAAATGGCTGCAACCATTGCTCAGGACCATGTCGATGCAAATATACAAGAGCAAGAGAATGACATCAGTAGCCTAGTCGTAATAGGCGTAGACATGGTGAAGGAGGAGGATAATAACAATGGTGATCAGAACAAAGACTATTGTGAGGGTTCTTCCACATATAGTGATTTGTCATTTGTTTGGCCAGACAAGATGATGCTTGATGATCGTCAACATTATCAGAATCACTACTATCATGGTGAAGCTAGTACTACTTCTCATCAATTCTCTTTCATTGACAACGGTCAACTCTCCTCCTTATTTGATTCATACTGCCCTTACGAAGGAACAAGTGCTATATGAACACTTAATATATCGTAGTTAGGTTATATTTTCTCTTCCTTTATCTTGGAGAGTATAGTATATCTGGTGGGGAATGTAATATTTTTGTTGTATGTTTGATATAATTCTCTGTTCTACATTTCTATTGTTTCATTTTCTTTGACACTGGATGTTTTGTACGTGGTACTATCAATTGTATTTTTGACTAAATTTGTTTTTCTCAAAAAAAGTTGGTTTTCTCACAAGTTCATTTTGGATAAATCATAGGTGGGTAGTAAAGGTGAAACGATTTGATTAATGGATTGCTAAGCTCCAACTGCGCCAGTCCCACTAGATTATTGTTTTGCCTATTTGATTAGTAGTGCGATCTTTTGTCGGATTTAATAATTAGTGATCCATATAAATGATATTGCCTAAAGAGTGAAAAGTGACTTATCAATTCACTTTGCGGCTACGAAAGGTTTGGTGCCAAAACAAGGAAGAGATTGAGACAAATGCATCTCGCAACTGGTAGTGCTTTGTCTTTTTGTTGTTGCACTTACACAAGAACCGCCGTATACACTAGGGCTTAATTAATGCTTGCTGCAAGATAAAACAAAAATTCCGAACATGAACCCCTTTTTACAAACTAAATTCACTTTACTCCTATGACGGACAGATCTTCGAAGATTTCCAAGAATTTTAACAAATTTAAATATATCATAGATAAAACTTACTCATAGACTTGTTCAGAAATTAACCTATCTCTTTTTCGTTTTTCTTTGGTCAAAAGAAATTAACCTATTTGTTTTTTTTTTGCAAAAGATATTAAACTATTTTACGTGTAATATAGTTTAAAAACATTCGTTCTCTTAATAAATCTAAAAGATGTATGAATCATCGGACTTGGACACTTGAGTATACGATGTATGATTAGTCCTTTTTGTGTGTTTCAGAACCCAAAATGCTAAACTAAAATATATATATATATATAAGTCATTTAATACCTTTAACATCTTTTGCATACTATATCACAATTTACTGATATAAAGAATTGAGGATAGAATGTCTTCTCCATTGATATAACAAATACACATGATGAACAAAAGGGCAAAACGAAGGCCCCATGGCATCATGAATAGTGACGGTGGAGGGGCCAAAACTTCCACTAGAATAGCTGATCGACACTGAAGATGAAGAGCCCCTTTTATTATTTGGATTCGTTAGTCTGAAAAAGACAACAACAAAAAAGAAAGAAACAGCAACAAGTTCTTGCCAGTTTGTGAGATACTGACAAAATAACAATTTTCCCTAAATTTGATTAATGTTATTGCATTATTTATGTAAGAAAATGTACCTTGTACTGAAAAAAGCGTGCACAATATTATGGGATATTCTGACTATTGTACCTTCTTTTTCTTTGCGTTAGTAAATTTTTATTTAGATTGTGAGAACATTAGCATAAACATTATGCACATAATTATTTAATCAATATTTATTAGAAAAACACTTACAAGATGTTAATGTTTTCTAAATGTTATTTTCTCAATACTCTCATATGGAGCTTTTGATAGATCGTTTATATTTAAAATATATTTAATTTTAAAATAATTATATATGATTGATTTATTTTTAAAATATGATATGTTTATATCCAAAATACATTTCTATTTAAAAAAAATAAAGTTTGCAATTAAATGATTTATATTTTTAAGAAGAATAATATTTCACCTTTAAAATAAAATAAATTTATATAATTACTTATCATTCATTATTTTTAATAACAAAACATAAAATAATTATATATTTTAAATCTAAAATATCTATATTTCTATAAATAAATAAATTATATATCATATATTATTTTATGATAATTTTATATATAAACATTTACTTACTAATCATCTTATTAAATACATAAATGATATCATACAACTTTTACAACATATTGTTTCTATAACATATTGTTATTGTTTTGTCATCAACTCTAACCAATAAAGGACTTAATGATTTTGTTAAAAAACAAAATATGATGAAATGAGTTCCTTTCAGAGATTTGTATAGCAACCTGGACATTTAAAAGGATATAATGGGAAATAAATTTAAAAAATATTTGATGTAAATAGATATTTTGTGACTAGAAGAAATATCAAACCCCTAACACTTCTTAGTTATTTTGAATTCGTTTGAAGTACACATTGAAAAAATGTTATCAGTGCCTTAATAACAATTGATTTTTCTAATAATTAAGTTCTGTTTTAAAACGTAAACTTGAGTCATTTTAGTTGTCACCTGACATGTATGTTAATTTGAATAATCAAATAGAGAACTAGAAGAAAAATATGGAAATGATATAAATACATCTTTGCAACAACCCATTTAGTAACAAAATACTTTCCAATATTTTAAAGGCGAACTAGTTTAAAAGAATTGGTTTCCCATTAGATCCCAAACTAGAATCACCTGTAAAAAATAATAAATTAAATCAAACATATCTGTAGATATATGAATCCTATTTGTCTCCATCTCCCTCCTCCGGCCGCCGGTAATAGTGATGATGATGAGGTGGATCATTGCTAGGAAACATGAAATCCATGTTAGCCCCAGTCCCGCCGCTACCAAACATCATAGCGTCAGCCATGTCAAAGAAGGTACCGTAGTCAACAGGATGGCTAGTTGTGACTGTAGTTGCAGTTGGAGCGGTGGGGACGGCGGCAGAAGCAGTGGGAGCAGTTGAGTAGATGTGGCAAGTGTGTGAGCCACGGTAAGTGACTCGGAAGGTGAAGGGATCATCATTGAGGCGTTGGACTTGCTTCTTGGCTGGACAATTGTATAACTTTTGGTGGGTGCATCTATAGTACGCCCTGCCCAATCATTTAAATACGTATATATTATATGCAATAATTTCTTTATTTATGATTAGGACATTTTCAAACTATTCCAACGATTTGATAAGCAAGTAGGTATTTAATGAACTAAGAAAAAGATAATGATTTGTATTATTTGATAACGAAACCTGAGAAAATATGTACTATTACTTTATAACATCAAAGTTTCAACTTTGAACTGAATTTTAATAATATGTTATTTGGTCATTCTAATAAAACTTGGTGATTAAGAGACTGATTACAACATGTTGATGTGATGTAAATGTGTATTTCTTGGTTAGTTAACTAACTAAAGGAACGCCTTTTGTGACCTTGATAATCTCATTCACCATCATATATATAGAATCTTTGACTACTTGACGATCAAAAGTATTTTTCTAAAATTCGTTTCGGCCTATTAATTAATTAGTAGAGTTTTCATTTTTACTATTCGTAAGATTACCTAGGATACCTAGAACCAAGAATTTCCTTTTGGCCGTATTTACGCCAAGTATGATTATCGTCAGGTGGTAAATCTGTATTTCCCGACCTTAACGCCGCCACCAACACCGTTTGTTCCTCTCCTTCGTTTTTCCTACGTACTCACAAAATCTACATTAATTAGTACATACGGGACACCCTAAATATTCTATTTTCATTTTAAAATTAGCCAAAATAACATATAATTATGTTGGAAATTTGAAACTTGAAGTGAACTAATAGATAATCGAGTTCTTATAATAAGATTTAGTCTAGTGAGAAATATTAAAGTAAACTTGTTAGATGCATTCATCCATATCATGATTTGATAAATGGACAACTTTCATAACTCCCGTATATTTTAACATTTCATTTTCTAACACTACCATCTCGAATTCTAAAGACATTATGAACTCTAGGTTTAAGAATGAATGATTTTAGAATACCTTATATCCAAAAATGAAGGATTCAAAAAAAAAAAAAGGAATGAGTCAAAAATGATTCTAAAAGATATTCTGAATCTTTAGACATAGTTACTAAACCTAAACTTGTAGTATTTTTGGCAGTAGTTCAAAGTTGTGGCATTTTTGAAACAAATACTTGGTTTGATAATAATTTACGTATCAATTAAGCATGTGTCATTTCTACCACAAAAGAAAATATCAAAACTTATACAGTGTTTTAACTTTTTACCTTCTACGTTGCCTTGGCGTAGATGAACCGCTACCGGAGCCACCGGATCTTTCCGTAGCCGTCAAATTTCTTCCGCCGTCACCCTCAACAGCCATGAGCTGCCTTTGAGTCATGGCTTCAGTTCCCTGAGATGACGTGGACCCGCCATACCTTAACCAATAGTCCTGCATCAGACCCGGTTCAATCTGCATTAGCATCTGGTCTGAGCAAGCCACAATCACCGGTTTAAGTTGGTTCATTGCGGTCTCCGAGTTCCTGATCACGAGGACTATCTTTAGCCGCTCTTTAGCATCAGCAAATGTCTTTGTGATCTCGTCGAGAGAGGTGGATAGAGCTTCCGGTGACTTTTCTGGTAAGCTTGACTTAAGCTCATCAACCAGTTTCAGCCCGTGGAAGATAATTGACATTACCTCTTCCATTTTGTAATTTTAAAAGTTTATGTCTTTGGTATGAGTAACACATATATAGATATTAGGGCATATATATAGACTAAGAGATACGTAAACAATGGTTAGTTCCAACAGTTAGCTTCGATGTTGGTTCCATTTGAAATTATGAACATACAGATTTTTCAAAGATTGTGATTCTTTTTTTCTTAAGACGCCATCTTTCTTGCACTACTTATTTTAGCTAGTTTGGGACTTAATTAATCGACAGGTAAGTATGTCCACAAATTAAGAACACGCTTTTATGCTATTCCACATTCGGAAACAACAATTATTATTATTGTTATTTTATATGTTCCAAGATCCTATCAACACCGATAGAAACATATTTAGTACTACATGATATTTGATTTATCTGAGTTTGGAATACTTTTTAATTAACATAAGGGATAGACGGATCTTTATTATTGGACTACCATATAAAGTATCTTGATAACCAAAACTCTTAGTTCTCACGTAACGGTGGTTTTTTTTATTGTTTTTTCAATATAAACATGGAACTAATTGTGGAAAGTATTCTGATATACCCCAGTTGGAAAATAACTATTCTAAGTACCCCACCATTTTTCTCACTGCCCCACTTTTTTTTTTGTTCGTAGTAATTTCTAGTAATTCAAGGTAGTTTATTTTTTGTTCATAGTAGTTTCTAGTAATTTAAGGTAGTTTCTAGTAATTCAAAGTAATTCAAAATAGTTTCTAGTAATTCATATTACATATAATATTGATTCATTAAGGGTAATTGATATTTTAACTATACTTAGATTTTGAGCACAAAAAAAAAAAAATCAAATTTGTGATGGGTTAAAATAGAATGACGATGATAGTGAGTGGGGTAATGTAGAATTTAGTCCACTAATTGTTTGGCAAGATCCGGACCGAAAATCTAACTCTTAGTGGTAACCCATTGACCCGGTCGGAGAATAAATAGTCGACGTAACAAGGGCTGGTTCGTGTTTTGTAACACACGGCAGACGAACTGGTAATAATATTTGACCAAGTCATGGTCTTCTATGAATGAACAAATTTAATGATTTTTTTGTTTTCTCTCTTCAAGATTCAAAGTTACAAGATTTTCTTAGAAGTCTAGACGACGACTTGAAATTTCAATGCTGAAACTATTGAACACTTTTTTTCTTAAAGTGGACGGACACACATCACTTAAGAAGTTTCTAAGGCGTTGAATTAACTATACTTACTTTCGGTAAATTTCTTAACAACATCTATGTAGAAGTTTATTCTTTTGAGCCTGAAACATGTCTTAGTCCAATTAGCACTTGATACATCAAAAATATTTAAATATTCTTCAATTATGTTTGATCATGTGATTTTTAGAGTTTACCAAAAGTTTTCTTTAATTTTAGTTGTTTGAAATAGTATGGATAATCAAAGAAGAAGTTTCTCTAACGTTTATAATGTATTTTAGAGAGAAAATTTAAGAACAATTCTCTCAAATAGACATTTTTAAGTTTTTATCACAAAATAGACCTCACAAACTAAAATGACCATAATAACATTTTTTCTTTAAATTTTTTTTAATTTCTTTTTTTTTTTCATATTTGAAATACTATTCCCAAAATCTCACTCTTCAACTCTAAATAAAAAGATCTAGGATTAGCCAAACGGTATAAATGTATATTTACTTATTTTTGATAAAACATTAATCTATTTTAGTTATTTTTATTTTAATGTCTATATATGTGACAAAAACTTTTTTAGGTATACCCTAGAGAATTTTTCAAAAATTAATTAGCTTCTACATTTTTTATTTATTTTGAAAAGGCTATTCAGTTGAAATGTATAAAGAAATATAAGTCATGATCTTATCAAGACCATGCAGTTTAAAAAAGAATATGAACGCAACTAGGCCTGGGCATAAAATCCGAAACCCGAAATCCAAACTGAACCCGAACCAAAAAACCCGACCCGTTATCCGACCCGAAAAGTAAAAATACCCGAACGAGTCTTATAGGATGGTATAAAAAATCTGAACCCGAAGTGTTATTTAACTGAACCCGAACGGATAACCCGAAATATCCAAAATTAATAGTTAATATAAATATTTTAAAATATATATATATATATTTTAGATATTCAGTTTAATGTTTATTTTGATATGATACATAGAATAAATATTAAAATATAAATAAATATCTTAAATATAATTAGTTATAAATAAGTACTTTGTAATTTTTTCATTAAAATAATAAATTTAGTTTATATGTAAGGTAATGCACATTGTTTACAAGTGATGTATGTTTTAATGACTGATTTAGCTTCTTTTTTTTTTTTATCAATTTTATGTATGTATGATTAATTTATATTCAGTTTCAGTGTTTTTTCTTTATGTTTTTGTTTCGAAATTTTGTTTTATACTTCGGGTATATCCGAACCGAACCGAAATAACCCGAATTCGAAAGATATATGGTTACTTTACGGGTTTTATGCTGCAATACAAATTTGAACCGAACCCGAAGTGTTATTATCCGAACCCGACCCGTACTATTAAAATATTAGAATGGGACCTATGAGCATAAACGCAACATGCTTTAGCTTACTCTTAAACAAGTAGAATACCTTCTACAACTATTTTGTTCTAGATTAGATTAGTATAACCATGCTTCTTTTTTGTGTTAAATTTTCATGATATTTCTGGATTCAACCCCATATATACAAACAAACTACATATATACTCCATTATACATTTTATGTTTATCATTTTGGGTTTCAACTAGTGTAGATCTTGTTATTTAGTGTTAATCTTGACTATTTATAACGTTAATTAACATTTAAAACATTCCAAAACCTTAAAAATGCAAGATTGAAAAGGAGATTGTTTGAGCTAGAAAACCAAATCAAAAGAAATTTGCATATAACCAAAAACTTTTGATTCCAAGAGATGACATAAGACGCGAAAACATTGTCACCAATCCATAAGTAGAGCCTAAGCTATAACGCGGCCCACTTAAAAACAGCAGGAAACCATGAACTCCACGTCGTCTTGTGTAAACAAATAAAACAGCACGAACTGTAAAAACAAAACACGAAAACGGCAGTAGAGTCACTCTGTTCAGGTCCGATCATAACTCCGACGAATTAAAGAGCAAAAGCAAATCTACAGGGAGACGATTGCTGCAGATTGAAGAAGAATCATAAGAAAAAGGAGCTTCCTTTCTTCGTTCTGATTCCATATAGATCAAACCCAAAGCAACAACCCTAACCTTCTTCAGTTTGCTGTATTGAAATTTGAAGAGAAGAGAAGAGATGTTCAAGTTTTTGAAAGGAGTGGTGGGTGGATCTGGGGCTGGGCTAAAGGATCTACCTTACAACATCGGTGATCCTTACCCTTCTGCTTGGGGCTCGTGGAATCACTTTCGTGGTACCTCCAAGGTCTAATCTCCTCTCTCTCTCTCTCTCTCTGTTTATGTTTCAAAGTCTTTAGCTTTTTTTTTCCTGTTGATTGCTTTGATCTCAGCTTCTGTTATTTTAGTGTCAAACGTTTGGTACTATATCACATGATTGATTCTCAATGTAACGTGATCCATAGAGCTTTAAAGTTTAAACCTTTTTCAATGCTTAGTAGCTGCAAGTTTTTGAAGTCGTATCTAGTTAGTTTGTTACTAGTATTCCGTTTAGATGAAACTAATGGTTATTGAATTTTAACTGTTCTTGGTTTGAGCTTTGTTAGACTCTGCTTCTATTGCTGTATATTAGCTTTATAATTGAATTTTGGTCTTGATAAGTGTTTACTTTAGTGTCAAACGTTTGGCACTGTGTAACATCATTGGTTTGTCTATGTAAAGTGATTCATATAGTAGCTGTAGTTTTTGAGGCGTATCTAGTAGTTCTCTTAGATGATGAGACTGATGGCTCTTTTTTGAATTGTAATTGTTCTTGGTTTGAGTTTTGTTGCTTGGATTTTGATCTTGATAAGGTGTGTATCTAGTTTATTAGATGGTTTTTGTTACTTTTTACTATATATCCGCGTCGGTGGATTTGCTTTTTGAATGGTGTAAGTTTGTTATAGGATACAATCTCATATCCTGTAATGTTGGTTTCTTCAGGATGATGGATCTCCAGTTTCGATATTTGCTCTTTCTGGGAACAATGCTCAAGATGGGCATTTGGCTGCTGGGAGAAACGGTGTCAAGCGTCTTCGTACTGTAAGTTCTCATAACTCTATAAGATTTTTGTATGCTCGATTAGTAAAAACAAGATAATTCTTCACTGATTACTTATGGAAACTTCTCTCATTCACTTAGAACTCTAAAGCATCAAATTAGTGAAGTATGGGTATTGGGTACCTTTTCTTTGTCTGTAAGGGAAGTATGAAGGTGCACTGAAATTTATAGTCTGTTTTTCCTACTTGATTAGATTGAAAACTGATACTTGCATGAAATATCTATTTTCTGTCATTTTCTTACATATATGCGGTCAGTTGATTCATCTTAAATGTCCGACTAAGTGGATTTATTTATCCTCTTGTCAGTATCATCGGCATCTTTCTGCTATATTATCACTTACTAATTCCTTTTGCAGGTGAGGCATCCAAATATACTTTCATTTCTTCACAGCACGGAGGTGGAAACTAACGATGGTTCTACTTCCAAGGTTACAATCTACATAGTCACTGAGCCTGTTATGCCGCTTTCAGATAAGATAAAGGAGCTAGGATTGAAAGCCACTCAGAGGTATGAACTCCTCTTATGAGCATCAGAGATATAGTTTGCAGCAACATTTTAATCTACTCCAACAAATGTCAGTCTTACCTGTCTTTTTTTTTTTTCCTAATTATACTGGGTTTTGTCATATGACCTTATCGTGCTTGACATGATATTTTTGATCATGTCTGTAACTTTGTTGTGACTGTGAAAATGTGGCTTTAGGGATGAATATTTTGCTCTGGGTCTACACCAGATAACTAAAGCTGTGAGCTTCCTGAACAATGACTGCAAACTTGTGAGTGTTCACTTCTTAAAACTTTATAATTTTCTAGAACATTACTAGATTTTCTTGTTGGGTATTTTAGGTATCATCTTGAATTTGCAGTGGCAAACTTAAAGTTCTCACCACATTAATGTTTTTTCGTCTTCTTCTTTCTATTGTTTCAACAGGTGCATGGAAATGTTTGCCTGGCTAGTGTTGTTGTGACACCTACTTTGGACTGGAAACTCCATGCTTTTGATGTCCTATCGGAGTTTGATGGGAGCAATGAATCTGCAAGTGGACCTATGCTGGTACTGTCTTCTTTTCTATTCAATTTTAGTAGTCTTAAGGGTCAGGTGTTAGTCCTGAGTTTGTTGCTTCCTTTTCATCTTTTCTAAACTTACTTCTTTTTTTTTTGTTTCAGCCATTTGAATGGCTAGTGGGAACACAGTACAAGCCAATGGAAATGGTGAAATCTGATTGGGTTGCCGTTAGAAAATCTCCACCATGGGCCATTGATTCATGGGGCTTAGGTAAGACCTCTATGAACTTAGCTTAATATATAGCTGGCCAACTTGAGTGCAATTCTTTTATTGAAGCCCTTTACTTGTTTTTTGAAGGTTGTCTTATATATGAACTCTTCTCCGGCTCTAAGCTTGGAAAAACAGAGGAGCTCCGTAACACTGTCGGCATTCCTAAGGTTTGGATGTCACCCCATTTTTTCCTGAATATGTGGATTTGACTTCAAATACTGGCGATGTGTTTTTGTCAAAATGCTTTGTTTCCCCCACCCCACCACCCAAAGTTTTGATGGTTTATCTGTTTGTGTGACTTCATTTTCTAAGAGCTGGCTTTCATTTCAGTTTGAATGTTTTCCTTTTCTCACAGTCTCTGCTTCCAGATTATCAGCGACTCCTAAGTTCCATGCCTTCTCGCAGACTAAACACCTCAAAGCTTCTAGAAAATGGCGGTAATCTTCCTGTCTTGGTTACAAATTTGCAACTTTAACAGTTTACTTTCGATTCTCGGTTTGCTTTTTCTCTGTATTTTTGTTTTGACTCTCTCCTCTGGGGTTTTGAATGTTTGTATCTCTCGTAGTTATCTTTGACCATCTCTCATCTCTTGCTCTCTCATCTCTTGCTACTTATTTTTGACATTTGACAGAGTATTTCCAAAACAAGCTGGTGGACACCATACATTTTATGGATATTCTCAACTTGAAAGACAGTGTTGAAAAGGACACTTTCTTCCGCAAGCTACCAAATGTTGCTGAACAGCTTCCACGGGAGATCGTGCTTAAGAAGGTATGAATCTGAAATATTGAGAGGGTAGTAAGAAAGTAGTATGCCTTTTGAGTATATGGTTTTACGTTTTTGTTATTGACCTAACCTTGTGGTTGATGCAGATTCTTCCTTTATTAGCTTCTTCCCTTGAATTTGGTTCAGCTGTTGCCCCTGCATTAACTGCCTTACTCAAGATGGGTTCATGGTTATCAGCTGAAGATTTCAAAGTCAAGGTTGTTCATGTCTCTTTTAAAACCCTCTAAAAACCACTCAATAGGATTATACATGTGCCTATGAATATTTTGTGCTTATTCCTGAAGTTCCTCCTTTTTATGACTTTAGGTGCTGCCAACAATAGTCAAGCTTTTTGCTTCTAATGATCGAGCTATTAGAGTTTCTCTTTTGCAACATGTTGATCAATTTGGAGAATCAATGTCCGGACAAATTGTTGATGAACAAGTAAGTTTGTTTTATCTTCTTTGGCTGTGGGTGTCAGCAGCAATGTAATCTTGTTGCATGCTTTGATCATTAAGACTGACTGGACAGTACTACTTAATAGGTATACCCTCATGTTGCTACTGGATTTGCAGACACATCTGCCTTTCTACGAGAGCTGACTCTTAAATCGATGCTCGTTTTAGCTCCAAAGGTAGCTTCATCCATGCAACTTTTCTTTCTTTTCATAATCCAATTGTATTTGTATCTAATATTACATCTCTTTTCTTTTATTGTGGCTGCAGCTTTCTCAGCGTACACTTTCTGGATCCCTCTTGAAATACCTTTCCAAATTACAGGTTTGTATCTGCCTTCTCAATAGCTTTGACCAGTTTCTTTCCCATATATGCTTCATTGTGGTTTAAATTTCATATTATCTTCAGGTGGATGAAGAGCCTGCTATCAGAACCAATACCACTATATTACTCGGGAACATTGCCACCTACCTAAATGAAGGGGTTAGTTTTCACTACATTTGTTGTTCCTTTGTGACCTTTATTGTTTTTGTTTGTGCCTAATCATGAAAATATGATGCAGACAAGGAAAAGAGTTTTGATTAATGCCTTTACAGTGCGTGCCTTGCGGGATACATTTCCACCTGCTCGTGGTGCAGGTATGTAGGATGTTTTTGGTTCTTTTTCATTCGGTCTGGGTGGGAAGTTTCTGCTGATATCTTCTTTCCAGCTTTTATCATATTCTCAGTAAATTTTACTTAACGCAGGTATTGTTGCATTATGCGCCACCAGTACCACTTATGACGACACTGAAATAGCAACAAGGATTCTTCCAAATATTGTTGTACTAACTATTGATCATGACAGGTTCCTTATTTAAGTGCTTGCTGTTCTTTTCTTGTCTAGTATTCTCACTTGGACAAAATGTAAATCATTTATTCTCATTTTCCTTGATAGCGAGGTTCGAGCCAAGGCATTTCAGGCTGTAGAACAGTTTCTTCAGATACTGAAACAGAACTATGAGAAGGTAAGGAGTAATAGTTCTACCGAACTCCTTCTTTTAGATTATTTTATATGAAATGTTATTAACATTTGGGAATGGATGATAGCTAAACTTTGTTTGGTTTGTTAATAGACAAACGCTGGAGAGACAGGAGCCACCGGAGGAGCCTCAGCTATACCTGAAACTGCTGGTCTGATCGGGTGAGTATAGTTAAATCAGAAAAAAAATAGATGAACTATATTACATATAAACATTGATCAGAGTGCTTCGTATACTAACTGGACTAATATACTTATCCTTATAGATGGGCTATGAGTTCTTTGACTCTCAAGGGTAAGCCATTAGATCAAGCGTCGCTTGCTTCTTCTTCTTCAGCACCATCCCTAGCTTCTGCAGTTTCAAATGCTACAACAACAGGTACACTTGAGATCACTTGCCATCATTTTTAACTCACCATGGAAGTAAATTTTGTCAAATGTTCAACTGCAGACATATATAGCAAAAGAAACCTTGATCATATACTCAGATCTGATAGTTGATCACTGTGTTTGTAGCTAGATAATACACATATCAATACTTCTTTCTTTTCCTGTTTTGTTTTATTTCTTGTGAATCTTCTTCAGCAACGGAGGCGCCAAGTGTCAAAGCCAGTCATCATACACGTTCCAACTCGGACTTCACAGATCAACCAGCACCACCATCTCCAACATCAACAGATGGCTGGGGAGACATTGAGAATGACATTAACGAAGGTAATGAGAGCGACAAAGACGGTTGGGATCTCGATCCTATTGATGAACCGAAACCTGCTCCAGCTCTCTCAAACATCCAAGCAGCTCAAAAACGACCTGTGTCTTCTAGACCTCCAGGTACCAATCTTTAGCTGAATCAGTTCACATCAGCACATTTTTGTTAAGCCTTGTGTGTTAAATTCATTGTTTTCTATAGCTACAAGCTCGAGACCAAAAGTTAACACGGCAAAAGCAACTGCGAAATTGGAAGACGATGACTTGTGGGGATCCTTAGCTGCTCCTCCACCTGCAACTACCTCAAGACCGTTGAACTTGAAGAAGGCAGTACAGTCTGATGATGAAGACCCCTGGGCTGCCATTGCTGCTCCACCACCAACCACCAGAGCAAAACCTTTGTCCTCTGGTCGTGGCCGAGGAGCCAAACCTGCAGCTCCCAAACTTGGTGCCCAACGCATTAACCGAACCTCATCTGGAATGTGATGTAACACAGGAAGAAGATAAAGAGGCATACAATGTACATTTTTTGGAGCATCTCCAGATGACTCAAACAACCAACATATTGTTTGTGATATCATTCATTTTTAAACCCCCAAGAATGTCTCTTAATTTTACACTACGCTGCCCCAAAGAGTGTTTTGTGTGTGTTTCTGAGAAGTAGGAATGATGTAAAGACACCATTCTCGGAATTACATTATCTTGTTCAAGCCAAACTCATCTTCGTCTGTCATGTTACTGTTTACGCTATTCAATACATTAAAGATCATCTCAGACGCCATTGGAGAAGACGAACCTCCTGAAAAGAAAACATGATTGAGATTGCTCACTTCAATCCAGCTACAACCTGGATTTTTTTGCAAGCCTTTCTCCTTCATCTCTCTCAACAGCTTGGCTGCTTCTTTCTTCAATCCTGCTTTCATGTAAAGATTAATCAACTGAACATAGTTACTACCTCTCTCCGGTTCCATCCTCAACAAGTTCTCAGCAGACAATATCCCAAGCTCCTTATTATGATGGGTTCTTGACGCAGATAAAAGACACAACCATGTACTACTGTCTGGTTCAATAGGCATTGCTTTTATAAAACTGTAAGCTTCTTCTAGGTGACCGGCACGTCCTAGAAGATCCACCATATTAGCATAATGCTCAATTTTTGGTTCAATGCCATACTCTTGTTTCATGATCTCAAAAATGTTTTTACCCTCCTGCACAAAACCGGAATGACTACAGGCTGAAATCAAAGAGAGGAACGTCACATCATCTGGCGATTCTCCTGCCTTCTTCATCTCATCGAACAGACTCAATGCTCTATGACAATTTCCATGGGATCCGTAACCATATATCATTAGGTTCCAAGTGACCAGACTTTTATACTCCATTTTCGTGAAGATATTCTCTGCATACTTGGACAACCCGCACTTTACATACATATCAATCAAAGCGTTTTTCAGGTGAGTATCTGAAGGAATGTTGAGTCTTAATGTATAACCATGTAGACTCTTCCCTTTAAGCAAGCCTGCAGTTGATGAGATTGCAACAAGAACACTTGTGATTGATACTGAATCCGGGAAGACACCGTGATTGAGCATTAGACTGAAAAGTTCTATGGATAGTTCAGGAAGGCTGTTTCGACTGTAGCAAGATATCATGGAGTTCCAGGCAACAATGTTGTCTGTTCTCATGCTAGTAAAAAAATTGAGAGCCATTTCTGGTAAACCACACTTAGAATACAGATCGATAAGGGAGCTGCCAACAAAAACATTCAGCACTAGACCCGTTTTAATCATTCCACCATGAACTTGAAGGCCAAGACTGAGAGCCTCTGATCCTGCGCATGCGTTTATAACACTGGTCATAATATCAGAATCAGGTTTTAACCTATCATTATCATCTTTCATGGAACCAAAAACTCTCAGAGCCTCTTCGAATTTCCCATTCTTGCAAAGTCCTGAGATCAGGGAGCCCCACGCAATCACATCTTTTTCTTCCATTGATTTGAAGACTAAATACGCATCAGTATCACATCCAGATTTAGAGTACAGAGTGAGTAAAGCACTATCTATTGCAGGTGTGCTTTGTATTGGTCTCCTAAACAGTTCCGCGTGGACTGATTTGCCATAGTTATACAACCCTAACATGCTACAACACGCTATAACATTTGACAAGGTAAAAGAATCAGGCAAGACACGATCCTCTCTCATCAAACTGAACAACTCCAAAGCACTATGTCCGTAACCATTCTCTGCATAAGCTGCAACCATGGCGTTCCATATTTCAAGTCTTTTATCAATAACGCAACTGAAGACAGTCTCTGCCTCACCAACCATACCGCACTTTGAATACATTAACAGAAGAGAAGTACAAACATAAGGATCATTATCAAGTCCCATCTTCACCACGTCGCAATGTATCTGTCTCCCAAAACTAAAACTCCCACTTCTACCACATGCACCAAGAACCCCAGTGAAAGAAGTGGAAACAAGCTTAACACTGTTACTCTTAGCAAGCACATACAACTCCAAGCTAAATTCACTGCTCCCACTATCACCAAACCCAACAATCATCACATTCCACAGAACAACATTAGACTTATCCTCAACCTCCAAAAACACACGCCACGCATCAACCCCTAACCCAAACTTGAAATACATATCAATCAAAGCAGTTTTCAAAAACGAATCATCACCTAACGAGTTCCTTACCATATACCCATGAACCTGTTTCCCTTCCCTCCACCTAAAGTCTCCACCTTTACACAAAACACCCACAACAATAGACAACGAGAAACCATCAGCCCTCACACCCAACGCCACCATCCGACGAAACAAATCAAACCCATCCTTAAATCTGCCAAATTTAAAGTACCCATCAATCAAAGAGTTCCAAACCGTGACATCTCCACATTGAGACATTCCATCGAACACTTGGACGGCACTATCTAAAGATCCACACTTTACGTAAAAATTAACAAGCGAAGTTGCAATGAAGGGATCGTGTCGCAAACCCAACACGATGATTGAAGCGTGGAGGATTTTTCCGTAGGAGAGGTTTTGAAGTGAAGAGCATGCTTTGAGAAGAGAAGGGTATGTGAAGACGGAAGTACAGAGTGGAGAAGAGTTGTCATGGTTAGTGTATAGATGCAGAGCTTGTAGATACTCTGTTTTGTGGACTAAGGCTCTGATTCGGGAGCTGAGAGAAGCTGGAGAAGTGTAGGATTCAGCTAAAGAAGAGAGTGTGCGACGAATGTGAACGTCGTGGAGTTTGAAACGCATTTCTGCATCGTCGTCGTTAAACCGATTTTGACTTCCTCTAACAAAGTCAATCAATAAGCACCTGTTGTTGTTAAACTTTGAAGTTTGAACACACAAATATTACTGGTGATTACTAAAACCTTTTTTTTTTTACTAAGGACATTTTTATAATATTCTTGTTGATTATTTAATACACACATATATTAAATACAAACAAATAAAAGATGAAGAATAGATCTCTTGTATCATTTGATTGACATCCCCTATATATTATTTGTGAAGTGATTTTGCCACATGTCCTATCTAGAATCAATTTCACAAAAATAGTGACATATCTACTAGAATTGATGACATGGCATATGATTAAATATGACATGGACAATTGCATTTAATATTAATATATATATTTTGGAAAACTTTATAGAATATGGTAAAACTCATATATTACATTTAATGTCGATTTATATTTTTGGAAATATTTTTAAAATATGGTAATAACTAATATATCATCATTAAAATAAATATATACCAATATGGCATTAAAATTTTCGAAAATATCATTTATTTATATATTTTAGAACTATACAATTTTATTACAAAAATTTCAAAAATGTATACATTTTTTTGAAAATTATTAAAATTAATCTTAAAATTATTAATTTTTTATATATTTAAAAATTTAATAAATATTGTCTAATTTTAATTTTTGATAATTATAAAATTTTGTAAAAATTTATTTAATATATTTAATTAAAATAAATAGATAAAAATTATCTAAGATTATAATTTTAAATATATACATGCATATTCTTAAATATAATTTAAAATAAACAAAAATATTTTTATATTACTTTTTATGTTTGATTAAACAAAAATTTGTATTAAAATAGTGATAAGAAAAAGAACTCTTAAATTATCATTAAGATAATAAATAATATAATAGTAGAAATATAAATATAATAATATTACAAATATTGAAATATTTTTATGTGTATTTTAATAATTATATATTTTTTATTAATAATTTTTTTCAAAATTTTATGCAGTTTTTTTTTTAAAATTAAAATTTTCTAATCCCAATACCATTAGCTTTATTTATAACATCTATAAATTTTAGAAATATTATTTAGTTTTATATTTTGATAATTATATATCTAACAAAATTTTATCTTAATAGTATAGAATCTGATTTAGTATAATTTAACCAAAAGATAATAGATACATATATATTATTAAATATAAATTTAAGAATTTTTTTTTAAGATTGACCTTAAAAAAAGTTTTAATCACAAAAATAGACCATAAAACAAAATGACCAAGATAGACTTAAATGTTTTATCAAAAATAAGTAAATATGCACTTATATCCTTTGGGTTAACTAATTGTAAACCTTTTTGTTTAAAGTTGAGGAGTAGAGTTCTGGGGATATGATTACAAATTTTTTTTTTAAAAAATGGAATTAAATTTTCAAAATAAAAAATATTGTTTTGGTCATTTTAGTTTTAAGATCTATTTTAGTGAAAAAACCTAAAAAAATTCTATTTGAGAGAACTGTTATATATTTAAATAAAACTGTTTATTTTTTCTTAATTGTTACATATAATTAATGTAAAATTAATAATGTAATAAAATAATAAATTTAAAAATTAATTAAATTTTATTTTAAATATAAATTTATTTTTAAAACTTTTATTTCTGCACATGGTGCAGGAAGCCACCTAGTATACTATAAGAGATGTGTGACACAGTTTTTCTATTTTTGTTTTGGTGATATTTGTTTCAGCTAATATCATATATTAAAAACAATTACTAGTACAGTAAAACCTCTATAAATTAATAATGTTGGGACGTTAAAATTTTATTAATTTATAGAGATATTAATTTAGAAAAATTTCCTTATTTAGATTTTTTTTATTTTAAAATAAATTTATTCAAAAAGAAGAAAAATATTTTATTTTACTATATAATTATTAATTATTATTTTTTAACAAATATTGACATTTATATCAATTTTATTATTTTATTTTGTGTATGTAATATATATTAATCTAAATGTGGTTTAAGGCATAATATTACCAAATATCATCAAAAATATAGTAAGTGTTGAGAAAATATAAAGAGAATTCCATTATGAATATAAAACAAACAATAATAATATGTTCTTACTTATATAAAATGTGTATACATATAATTATTAATTTATAAATTTAATGGGACCATATATTTACATAGAGTTTTCTAAAAATATATTATCTTATTATTTTATCGATTTGTGTCAAATTTTGAATTGGCTCAAGTTGGGACCGACAAAAATTACTAATTTATAGAGATTATTAATTTATCGAGTATTAATTTATAGAGTTTCTACTGTATATTAATTCTGAACAAAGTAGATAACAACTTTTTCACCATCATTATTTTTGTTACACAGCGGCCGAGTATTGTTTATGTTTGTAAAATGGTTTAAATTCAATTAAATTATTTCAAAAATAAATTAAATTTAATATGTTATGAAATGGCGTAAATTTATAAAAACTTACAAAATCTAGAATTGTTTAATCAAGTTTAATAATAATCAATAGCAGATACAATAATTTACAATGAAATAAATGAAACTTTTTTTATTTTTGGCACAGATAATAATATCATTTGTATAAATAATTCAGAGCTTTCAATTAATCTAATTTAAAAATTCATCTATTTGATTAAAGAAAAAAAAAGAATCGCTGAACTACTATATAAATGGGATAAACTGCTGAACATGCAGTTCCACTGCCTTTTAACAGAAAATGACACAAAAAAATCAGTACATAAGCAGTTCTCATGTCCTGCATTTAAAGTTTTTTTAAAACTGTGATTAGTAACAAATTACACAGAAAAAGAAGATGCAGATGATCTGCTTTTATCATGTCTCCCCATTCACACACTTATGAATGGAAGGGCAGAACAAGTGCAGATCTTCTGCTCATGCAGTTCTCTTGCATTGTTTTTGCCATTCATCTTTTTTTTTTGTTTCTAAAAGCAGTTCAAGCGGGAGATCTGCATGCAGTTCAATATTTTCTGTATTTTTGTGAAAAAAGCCGGAGATCTGCATGCAGATCTCACCCGCTAACATTTGAAGGGGTTGATCTGCCTTTTTCATTAATAAATGATTTTGCTATAAACACTAGCTTTAATTATATTTATCTGATTTTATAAATAATGTACAAAGATTAACTCAAACTATATAGTTCACACTAATATTATTTATGTCATTTTGAAATTATAAACATGACGTTTAATCGCCTACAAAACACAACATTATCCAAAGAAAAAATATAAATTTTCCTACATAAAACGAATATTTTATTAAGTTGTACAATATTTTTCAACAAAAAGATACAAATTTTTCTATAGAAATATCAACAAAGAGTTTAATATTAGTAACCTGCCCGTTCTTCAAAGACAATTTTGATCAACTAAAACAAAAATAGAAGAAGTATAAGCATCTTATGAAAAATCCAATTAACATTTCGGCTGATCTTACAACATCTAAAATATTTATTTTGATATTTTGGTATAATCTTTTATTGTTTAAATATATGATTTATAGTTTTGAACTGATTTTTTCATTCATAATTTATAATAAATTGTTTGATCTGCATCTCTTCTGCATGATTCACTTGATCTGCACTTGTCCTGCTTGATCTGCACATGTCGTGCTTGATCTGCATGAACCGCTTGATTTGCACCGCTTGGCTTCGAATGGTAAAAGCAAATCAAGCGGTTCATGCAAATCAAGCAGGACAAGTGCAGTTCAAACGGATGAAGCAGAATAAGTGCATATCAAGCAGATCAAATGATTTACTAAATTATGAATGGCAAATGCAGATAAAAAAGCAGATCATGTATTAAAATAATAAAATTTATAACTAAATAATCAATATAAAATATTATATACAATAAATAAACAAAGTTAAAATAATTTATTGAAAAATATTTTTATTTCTCTGTCGATAATATCTCTACTATTTGTCATATCCTTTCCATCAAATTTTTTTTTTGTTATGTTTCATCGGTTAATAGACATCAAACATACAATTTAAAAGTGATATAAATAATATCAGTGGGAGTTAACCAATAACAAATTTGAGAAATTGTATTATTAAATATATTTTAACAATTTTATTATATTATATGTTATAGTTTTTTTGTCAAACTTTGTAAATTATATATATGAATAATATGAAAAGAAAATGTGTATATGTATAATTATGGTCATATATATATTAAATACAAAAAGTTCTTGCACCAAAAAAATACAAACATATAAAGATGAGGAATGAACATATTTTTCATTTATTGAGACATCATATAAACAACTAATGATAAATAAAAGATTTTTCAATTAATTTCAAAGTCATGTGTTGGATGAAAAAAAAAGGCAGTTCCACTGCTTGAACAACTACAAAACGAGATTGATTACTGGATAGGCAGTTCCACTGCTTTATGCAGAAGAAGACAAAAAATATTCATATCTGTGCAGTTGTCCTACTTTTTTTGTTTAAAAAAAATATGAATGGCAAAGGCAGTGCAGATGGCCCACTCTTGCAGGAGATCTACTTTTTATCTGTCACTCCATTCATACTCATATGTTTCGAATGGTAAAAGCAGTTCAAGCGGGACGGATCAAGCGGATCATGTAGATCAAGCGGGACAAATGCAGATCAAGCAGATTATGCAGGAGAGATGCAGATCAAGTAGAACAAGTTATTTTAGAATTTATGAATGGTAAAAGCAGTTAAAAAAAAGCCGATCACGTATTTCAACAATAAAAATTACATGAAAATATCAAAATACATAATCAAAAATACATAAACAAAAGTAAAAATATTTAATGATTTGCCCATAACATATCTGCAATGTTGTCTCTAATGTTCATCATATGATTTTCATCAGCCATATTTGTTGTCTCCAAATCTCGAGGATTACTTTCAGAATCTTCGTTGCTCAAATTAGTGTCTCATTACTTCAACAAAATC